AGGAAATAACATTCCCTCCAGCCACCAGCACACAGGCAATTCAAAGAGCCCCACCACCTAAGGATCAAGCCCACAGCCATCCTCCCACCCCCATATAGCATTGATAAGCTTGTCTCCATCTGACAGTAACCCCCTCCCTCTGCAACCTATCTCTCACCAGTGGCTCCCTAATAGGCCCCACCCTTGCCTCTCAGTGCCGCCATACATTTTCCCCTTGCCTGGTATGCCCTCCTCCCTACCTCCTCTCTGAAGCCATGCCAGAGTCCCCAGCAGCCTTGCGGAATCCCTGTACACCCACCCAAGGGAAGTACAAGCAATTTTTAATGTGTCTCCCCCACTAAACAGGGTAGAACCAGATTTACCCACCTTGGCATTGACAGTGACCAGTGCACTGCCTGACACACAGGCCACAAGAGGGCTGTGTGAATGTAAATTACTTCTACCTCTCAGCAGCACTGCCTGAGGGCAGAGGGGGATAGGTCAGTGCCCCGTTACCTCCTCCAGCTCTGCATCCTTAGGAAGGAGCTGAATGATGAGCAAGAGTTCCCCACATCGGAAGCTGCCTTACTGAATGTGCCTCTCTCTCCCCATCCCTATTTCTTACCAGCAGCCCCTCCCCGGTGGACTTCAGCAGGCCCTGTGCTGGACAGCTCTCAGCTGCAAATTCTGTCTGGCCAAGAAAGGCACTCAAGAGTGCAGGTCCAGCCTCGATTTTGATTAGGGAAACAGGATCAGGGAACAGATGCAAACCCAGGTCTCCAAAGTCCTTATCTAGATCCCCAAGGTCTTCCAGACAGTAGGAAAACGGCATCTCTGTCTCTCCATTGCCTTCCCTAGCACACTGAAGATACTCTGGCGACCCCACTAGACTACTTCGGATCTACAAAGGACTCCGGGGTCTCAGAGTCCAGAACACAACCTTGCCACAAACTCTGCGGTGCCCCTGAGTTTACCCAACTCATGGCCCTGAGACCTCGCGAGCGTCCCTTACCTGGTCTCTGTGTCCTTTGCTGGCACAGGCGGCCCGAACCCAACGAGAGGGCGCTCCCCAGGCCCAGGGAAGAGCTCAGGAGGGGGCACTCCGGCCGTCGAGGTGCCCCCAGCACTGCGGCTCTTGCCTCCGGGGCTCTCTGCGAAGACGGATGAAGAGCCCGAGTCTTTGCGGAAGGATTGGCGCACCGGCGAGCCGCGGCTAGGTGGCCCCGAGTAGGGACTGTGTGGCGGCGGGGGACCTCCGGGTGGGGCTGCCACGTCGGCCAGCTTCTGTGGCGACGAGGGCGGCAGGCGGAAGCCATAGCCGTCGCCGTAGAGAGGACCGCCGCCCGCTGCCTTGTACAGGGAGTCCTCCAGGTCGGACTGCAGAGCAGCGGCTGAGTAGGTGCTGAGCGAGCGCACCGAGCCGCGCTTGTAGAGGCCGCCGGCACCCGGGTAGGCGAACGGGTCTCCGGCGGCCGCGGCCAGGCTCAGGCGGCCCTCGTGGAGCAGCCCGTAGGGGTCGGCGTAGAGACCCTCACCCTTCACCAGCACCATGCCACCCGCCTTGCTCGCCATGTCCTCGTCCGGCTTCACGTCGCGTCGCTCCAGGATGGCACTGGGGCTGGGGCTGACGCCCTGGGCGGCGGGGGCGCCCCCTAGTCGCTCGGCCGCGTGGTGCACCGGGCTGCCGGCATAGGAGGGCGGGCGCCCCCCGGCGTAAGAGAGGCGCGAGCGCGACGGGGAGCCTGATGGCAGCCCAGACGGCAGCCCTGGCGGCGGCGAGCTGGACGCCAGGTGCGGCGCCGGTGACAGGTTGTTGAGGCGTCGCGTGGGGGACGACTCCCTCGACGCATACACCATCTCTCTCTGTGCAGAAGACAGTCCCGAAACCCACAGGGCTGGTCACAAAGGGGGTCCCTTGCTGGAGGAGCCAGCATCTTCCCCCTGACACTTAGGAAGTCTCCTCTGTTCTCTGCCTTCCCTTGCTCCTGCTGCATCTTGGGGCCCTCTCCCATCAGGGCTCCCAGAATGGAGGAAGAAGTGGCAGATGGAGGGGCACCAGAGGGGCAACCCGCAGGCCACCCTGTGGTGAAGCACGATGGGAAGGAGTGGTTCCTGGGAGAGTCCGACTAGAAATCCTGAGTGGATGGGGAGGGGTGGGGTTGGCAAATGAGGGGGAGGACTCCTCCATGGCTCCACAATTAACGGAGGCTCCCTCTGCTTCAGCTTCTACGTTCCCTTCTCCAAAGCTGGCCCTGGTCCCTAATGACAAGGAACTGTGCTCCTGGACCCCATCTGCCCAGCCTCCCCAATGCCCTGGGCACCCCCAGCCATACCCGGAGGTCCCCGTTGGTGAGGTGTGAGCCAGGGAAAGCGGCGTAGAGTGGCTCCTTCCGGTAGATCTTGATAATACTGCGGTCCTGGATGTCCCTGGAGGGTGGGGAAAGGTTCAGAGGTCACTCACTATCCCCGAGCCCTGTGTTGAGGGGCAGCTACTCCAAGGGAGGAAAGAGGTATGGCAAGAGGGGTCCCAACCCCTTCCTAACTCCTTACTCAGTGGATCTCGTGCCTCAGGCTACCTGCTACCAACACGTACACGTAGCAACCTCCACCCAGTCCACTTCCTCGGCCTCGGGGCCCGTTTCAGGTTAGCTCAAGATTGCGAGAATCCGCAGATATGGACGATTTAGAGGGGAGGAGGTGGGGCAGCAGGGCTCCAGGAGGAGAGGAAGGGCTGAGGACGAGTCAGGAGGGCGCTAGGGAACTGCCTTCGAAGTCAAGCCCCCCACCGAGGAGGAGTACGCAGAAGCCCACCCATCCCCCTGGGGCCACGCCCACCGGACGTCCTCCAGCTCGTAGAAGACGTTGCGAGCCTCGTCTTTGATGAGGATGGCGGTGTTGGGCGACTTAAGCATGCCCATGGTGAGCTTCTGCGGGAACATGTGCGCGATGAGTGCATGCAGCGTGTCCAGGCTGCTGACCTCCTGCGTGATGTGCACGCGCCGAGTCTCTTCCCCGAACTGCAGGAACAGCACCCCTGCGAAGGAGACGCTGTCAGTGTCACCACCACCTCCACGCTGCCGGCCGGGAGAGCAAGGGGGGCCATCGGGAGCTGCGCTGGTCCCGCAGAGGCAGGGTCTGAGACCTGACGCTGTCCCGGAGTGCAGGTGCACCCAGGCACTCCTCATGCTGCCGACCTCTCAAGGCACCTCCTTGACCCCAGGCAGGTTGGAGCCTGGACAAGAAAATGGAACTGGGGGCGAGAGCAGGTAGGACAGAAACTGAGGGGGAGTCGTTGCTGAGGAGGCAGGAGTGAGAAAGGAGGGTATGAAGTAAAGGGAGGCTGCTGAAGATGGGGAGAGAGCAGGCTAAAGGAGAGAGAGAGCGCGGGCAGGGGATGCTGAGGGAGAGACGCGGGGGAGAGGTGAGGGGAGAGAGATGGAGGAGGTCTGGGGAAAACTGTGGGGGGAAGAGGCTCTGAGGGGAGGAGATTGCTGGGGGATGGAGAGATGGGGCAGGGAGGCAGAGGCTTCTAGGAGAGAGATGGAATGGTCAAGGGGATGAAGAGGGTTACAGGGCAAGCAGAGCAGAGGGAGGAGCCAGGAGGAGGAGGGACAGGCCCGCAATACCTGGTGAGCGCAGCTTGGTCTGACTGGCAGATCTGGAGAGGGGCAGGCTCTGTCGGAAGCGGTTCATCCTACTAAAGCCCAGAGGCAGCTCGGCCTCCGACATGGTCTCCAGCGACTCAGCTGAGGCGTAGGACAGCTTGGCCGCCTGGTCTGCCAGCCCTGGCTGGGCTCCCTGAGTGTGGCGTGAGCTGCGGGTCTGCAGGGGCAAGGTGGATGAGAAGAATGGAGCGTGAGCCCTTCACTCTGCCTGCTGCCCCCATCCAGGCCCCGGGAACTCCATCAGCCAGCGACAAACACAGGCACAAAGGAGGATCTTCTGGATTCCAGACTTGGCTGTGTGGCTGCAGGAGAGTTCCCAACCTCTTGGGGCCTTGGCCTCCCTGGGACACCCAGCAGGTAAGGAGTGGACAAAGACTCAGGCACCCTGGGAAGCCAGACAAGAAACCATCTGAGCAGGAGCCATGGGCACGCCTGCTATTTTAAGTTTCCAAAGAACAACACAAATTTGTCACCGAGGTGAGCAGCAGAATCGTTGAGCAAATTGGGGCATTAGTTCCAGACATTAATTAAGCGGCGGGTTTGTGAGCGGCGAATTTATCCTTCATGGAGTTCAGATGGTTGGGTTGGGGATAGGAGGCAGGGCCCAGAGAGAAAGCAAAGAGAGCTAGGGACCCCAAAATCCCAACTCTGGGGGTGGGGTGGGGTATAGGCCCTCACACAGCTGGACACAATGTCCTTGACTTAGAGTTACTGGGAAAACCACCTCAAACCCCCCAGAGCTAGTTGGACCCCAGTTCCAAACAGATAACCTGCCTATTACATGCAGTGTACATGCTAAGCCTGGTGTGATCCACACGCACACATGGCATAAGTGCTAGGCTTCAGCCCCTCCTTGCAAGGCACATGCTGCCACTGCAGCCAACCAGCTGGCCTGCCCAAATGCCTCCCCTGGAACCCAGCGTGGCAGCCTCCTGTCCCAGAGCTAGAGCTGAAGGTAATATCTGGCTGGGGCCAGGGAAGGGTGTCACCCAGACCATTCCCTACTGCAGGAACAGTTTGATTACTCTCTCCGTAGGGAAGGAGTCACCGCGATTTCTGTTGCACTGAAAGAGCCTACTTTTGGCTGAAGGCTGGGCTGTCACTCAACCACAGCTCCTACTATTCTGCCTCAGTCCATCCCCTCAAACTTGGTCATTGTCAGAAACTCATTTATTTAAGGGAGAAAGATAATGAATCATTATTGCGTGTTATGTACATTATATACATATATGTATTATATATACACATATTATAAGGAAAAATTCATGTTAACCAATTCTATTGTTCTATAATATGAATTGCCTATTTTAAAAAAACAAATTACTCAAAACGATTAACATCGGTTATCTTGGGGTTAAGACAGCTCTCCCTTTTTCACAAGTTTGTATCCTTGCGCAGGGACCATGCTAATCTTCTCTGTATCATTCACAAGTTTAGTATATGTGCTGCCGAAGTGAGCACTCTCTTTTTATTTTATACATTTTTCTGCTGGGCAAATTTTGCACAATTAGAATATATCACTTTTATAATAAAAAAAAAAACAGTAAAAGTACCTCTAAAAAGGAATCACTTATTCTCATCCCCAGCCCTTTCCTTCCCCAAATCCTAATTAACCCCTAATTAATCTCCATCTTCATATTAACTCAATTTAATGTTCCAATCAGATTAGCATTCTCAAAAACAGAGAGCATCTTCCTATGGTGGGCAATGTGCCCAACTGTCCCCAAAGTGGCCTCGAGGGCTTGGGAATGTGGAAATACAGATTTGGGGACCTCAGGGGGCACCCAGCCTCAAGTACAATGCCTTGACCAGTGGGTGGGCATGGGTCTGGAGAAGAGGAAGGCCGTGTAGGAACTGGGGTGGGGGGAAGAGGGGGAGACAGGAGGATGCCTTTGCCCAGACTTTGGACCCCCAGTTCAGATCTAGGCTGACCACCAATGCCAGCCGGTGCCCTTCTCTCTCACCTCAGCCCCGAGTCAGTGTGGGGAACCATGTCTGGTCTGGTGGTCATGAGGTTGCCAGGCAACTTTAAGGTCAGTGTTTGCCAGGCTGGTGTGGATGAGGGGCTGCAGAGCCCGGGCAGAATGAGCAGCTAGCAGGGATGAAGAACAGGGGGTGGCCACCGTGCCTGGGAGGCACAAGTGAGGTGCCATGAAGAAGAAGGAACAGGGGCCAGAATGAAGGAGAGCAGGGATTCTAGAAACTGCTGATTCCTGAGAAGGCAGGACCCTGCCCAGGGGGGCCGGGGGAGAGATGCCCACATTGCCTGCCCTATCAGTTTCTGTCTCTATCCTGGCCCTGTGGGCACCTTTCTAGTCTCAGAGCCTTGTAGAAAACCCTCTCGAGAAGAGAGAAAGCCTGTTTCCACTTCTCTCCATCCCTGGTGTGAACACAGGGCAGAGGAAAGTGAGACATCTAGAAGGACTTCCCAATTAGGAGGGAGATGGCAAGAAAACAAAATAGTAATTCAAGAAGAGCTTCCCAAAGGTAGGAAAGGGGCTGCGTGGGAAGCAGTGGGCACCTGTCACTGGAGCTGTCCCAGGGAGCCGGTGGCTCCTGGCCTGAGATGAGGCAGAGGGAACCTTGAGTGGGGGCAACCAGACTAGGATCTGATGCTCCCAAACACAATTTCTCCCACATTTGGGGAGAATCATCTGAGAACTTTTTACTTTTTTTTTATTATTACTTATTGATTTGAGAGAGAGAGAGAGAGAGAGAGAGAGAGAGAGAAACATCGATTTTCTGTTTCATGTATTTATGCATTCATTGGTTGATTCCTGTATGTGCCCTGACTGGAAGTCGAACCCACAACCTTGGTGTATCGGGACAACACTCTAACCAACTGAGCTACCCAGCCTGGGCTTCATTTGGGAACTTTTATTTATTTATTTTTTTAATCCTCACCCAAGGACATTTTTGCATTTATCTTCAGATAGAGTGGGAGGGAGAGAAGGAGGAAGAGAGAGAAAGAAACACTGATGTGAGAGAGACATATCCACTGGTTGCTATCCACAGGACCCCAACCGGGGCCAGGGGACAAACCACAACCTAGGCGAGTGCCCTTAGCGGGAACCGAACCCCGGCCTCTCTGGTTCATTGGCCGATGCTCTAACCGCTGAGCAAAACTGACCAGGGCTCATTTGGGAACTTTTTTTTAATCCTCACCTGAGGACATTTTTCCATTTTTTGTTCAGATAGAGTGGGAGGGGGAGAGAGAGAGAAACATCGACGTGAAAGGGATACATCGATGTGGCTGCCACCCACACGACCCAACCAGGGCCGGGGACAAACCGCAACCAACGCATGTGCCCTTAGCAGCAACCGAACCCCGGCCTCTCTGGTCCATCAGCCGATGCTCTAACCGCTGAGCCAAACCGGCCACGGCTCATTTGAGAACTTTTAAAAACACTTTCCAGGACCCCATATTCACTGAATCAGAATCTCTGAGGCTTGGGGACTGGGGTTCAAGATTTTTGACAAATTCCCAAGGTGATTCTGATTTGGGAATCAAGTCAGCATCCATGATTCTGATAGTGAATGAGGTAAGCTACCAGGTAGGGCTCCCTACAAGCTAGGCGCTGTGCATGGGGTGTGCAGTATCTCGTTTCTTCTGTTTACAACAGCTCTATGATACAGATATTATGCCATTTTACAGAAGAGAAACCAAGGCCCAGGGGATTGTGTAATTTGCCTCAGGTCACCTGGCTAGTTAGTAGCAGACTAGAATTCACCACTAGGTGGTCTGGCTCTCAGACTAAACCACTACACTCTACATGCCTGACACCGTGATTCTATTCCATGATTCTCTGATTCAAGGATGTCTTCTCTCTGGAAGATGCATGCAAACAAGCTGCTTAGAACAGAGGACACTGGGGAGTCTGGGATGGATGCCTCTCACCCCGTCATGATGTTTGGGATTTGAGGGGCTGGAGACTGTAGGACACAAGCAGCATTCTAACTTGGTTCAGCTCTCGGCCTGGGTGCCAGGGAAGATGGCACCCGAAGGTCCTCTCCTAGGGGTCCACAGGATGGCCTTGGAGGGGTAGACAGCTCTCCAGCTGTAGACAGTCCAGACTCTCCAAGGGAGGCAGGAAGGCATCCATCCCTGAGCTAAGCCCTCCACGTGGGCAACAGGTTTGAGGGTGCAGGGCTGTGAGTATCTTGCTTGGCACTAACCAGCTCCCCAGAGTAGGAACAAGATGAGGGACCCATCATGGTCACAGGCCTCCCTGGAAGATGAAGTTCCAGGATCTGAGTTCAGAGAACAGGACCCTCACCAAGATTACGGGGTCTGGGCCCCTGCCTCAGAGCCAGCAGTCGTGGCCTGGGAAAACCTGAGTATCCCCAACTCAGATCCATAGCAGGGGTGGCCCAAATTCCAACACTGGATCCACAAGCCCCTGGCAGGTGACCCCAGACTCTCTCAAAGCAGAAGCCATAGCCTGCAGCCCCAAAGCCCTCCACCCGCACCAGAAGGTCCCGTGCAGTCGCACACCCCTGTGCAAAGCATGTGCAGGGAGGGATAGGGCAGGACAGCACATGCAGTTGTCATGGAAGCAGAAGCACCACACACTGACCTTGAAACTCCAGTAGTTTGGCTGCTGATGGAAATAAGAGAAGAGATGGTTATGAGGGGTTGGGAGGGGAGAGTTGAGGCAGGGGTGGGTTATAGACCTTTGGAGCTCAGCACTGCGCCCTGGGACATGGTCCCTCCACCCTCCGGGGAGCAGGAAGGTAGCTATGCCTGTTACATCCCATTCTCTACTGAGACCCAGGATAGCCCTTAACAGGCTCCAGGCCTGCTAGTGGGGGTGGGGAGAACCATTCCAGATATTTACAAGCCACTCTTCTAGCTACAGTAACTGTCCTCAGAGTTACAGATGGGAAAATGCACCAATGACCGTGATACAGGGAACCTACGAGACTCTGACAGAGATGAATCGGAGCTGCAGGGTCAAGAAAATGGCATCTGGTTGCAGACCGGGGCAAACTTCCTGGAAGAGGTGGCATTTAAGCTAGGTCTTGAAAAATGAGCAGCTCAGATTGGGTAAAGGCGTGCTGAGAGAGGAGACCGCGTGGGCAAATGCCCGGGGGCAGGCAAGTGTGTTGAAGGAGTAGTAGTCAACTGTCCGGTTTGGCTGGGGAGCAGGGCCTGGGAAAGTAGCAGATTAGGCTGCAAAGCAGGGGCTGGGCCAGATGAGTGGGCTTAAACGCTGAGTGAAATTACGTAGACTTAACAGGTTGGATGAGCAGAAAACAACCGAGTGAAGCGCAGTGGGGTCAGAACTGGACCCCAGCAGGGTTGCCAAGGCAAGGAGGCCTGTTAACGTGATAGACCCAGATTATAGAAAAAAGTGGACAGATGCTAGTCACCTTACAGCACTGGGCAATGGATGGGGGCCATGGAGAACAGAGGGAGTTGGGGAAAGTGGAAGCATGGGCAGTGCCCTGTGGTTGGACAGATGAGAGAGGAGGGCTTCTTGAACCCCCAAAATGGCCGGGATCTCAGATTCCTCCCCATTCACAATAATGTAGGGTCATCCGCTTTCCCTGGAGGCCAGAAGGCCCTTTCAGATGGCAAGGACAGGAAGGAGTGGCCTGGAGGCCTGGTTGGTTCTTGGCAAAGCTGAGGGCACCCTGCTGACCGGTGCCAGCCTCAGCAGGAAGACAAGAGGCAGCAGATGGCCTGGCCCTGGGGTGCCTGGCACCAACAAACAAGATTCCCCAAGCCTCAGAGCCACTGGCAGCGGAGAGGGACGCTGAGGCCCCCAATGGGAGAAGAAAACAACATCAGGGCATCCTGGGCCACATCAATGCTTTCCTGACAAAGAGGAGTTGGACCGGGGCTGAGAAGAGGGGTCTTGCTGGAATGGAGGCTTTCCCTGGGTTACACCTTTGGGGCAGGGGTGACACTGGGCTAGGGCTGGGATAAAGAGCTACCCCATCTACCCTCATCTGAGCCACAATCCCCACTTTCCCTTTGGCATTGGCTCCCAGAGATGCAAAAAATAGTAACAAACACTGGAACAATCTGTGGGCACATGCCACCCCCACTGGTGCCAGGGGATGCCCACAGGTGCTGAGGGGAGGGGAAGGGAGGGGTTGGAGTAATAGGCTCTTGCCACAGCTGTCTGTGGCCTTGGGAAGGGGAGGGGTAGCAGAGAAAGTGGACACATGGGGGGCAAGCAGAGCCAGAGGGCACGGGAAGGTTTATGATGAGAGTCATGTCTGCAGCCCCAGTGATGATGGACGGCTCTGCAGAGAAGGCTGCCGTCCCTCATCCACCATCCCCATTCCTCTGTGCACAGAGCCACCCACAGTGCCCTGCAACATGCAGGCCCCACACTGAGCCCGTGCACAGACTTTTAGATATCCTTGATAAGGACATCTCCACCAGCACACCCAGAGCAACAAAACACACTCACAAAAGGACACGAGCACTTGGAGAGAATCCCTCCATG